AATCAATTTTATAGAAAGGCCTCGTAAGATTTGAATCAAACTTTAGGCTCAAATTCTGTTAGCAGATACATCATAATACGTTAGATGGATTGAACTGAAATCTTGAAATATGTTTTTCCCAAAATAAGAACTTTTTAATTTACCTTCACGACAACAAAGAGAAGCAGGTCTGAAGGTGTATAAATCATATAGTGGGAACCATCCTGCAGCACCACGACATTAAGATGACGAAGAAAATATTGAAGGATGCAACGCATTATCTCATCCAAAAAACCACTCACTACTAAACATAAACCAAAGGCTACCTGATAACTTTCCCTAATTACCAGGACTTTGTCAACAAAACAGATACTAACACCTTACCAGATGAAAGCATGCGATTTCTACGCATTCAGTTGGCAAGCCGTCCACATCTTGGCCATTATCTGCAGAATTATACATAATATTCATTAACAAATCAAATATGCAGTACAAGACCTAGAACTTGGATGAGAAAGCTTTTGACAATGTTATTCATTGTAATATTGACTAGTGATGATGTAAGATGGTCTCATGGCAGATAGGCAACTCATGGCTACATGCAATGGCATTATCAAATAGAGGTTAGTGCTTGGTTGATGAGTGCAGTTCATCAACTATTGAATGTTATCGTGAGTGGTGATGGTTAGAAAATACAGACCAGGTAATAGTGCCATAGGTTGTGACATGTGCAGGGCAGACTCAGGGTGATTGTGTATAAACCAGCTTGAAAGGAAATCTTGCAATATTCATTCATTAGTATTTATCTAAAGGAATTGGTGTAATTTAACCTCATGGGTAATTAGATAACTTCCCTTTTTTTATTATTATTATTATTTATTTTTTTGTGGAGATTTTAAAGAAATTGTACATTTCTTCTCTTCTTTATTTTTCTCCTCTCCTCTCATCTTTCTTTTTATTTATGGACAATTCAATCAATCTTGGGCCAAATGAATTAAAGAACCTAACTAAAAGTCGTAGGATATTAATCCACAAGAATAATTATAAATGTTTGAAGATAATAGAGTGCCACCTTCAACTAGGCTATTAATTTGCTTTTGAAAGACTAGGATACAGCAACTCCAAACAAACAGTGAAATGAAAATACATGACAGCAGCAAACAATGGTTGATAAAATATTTGTTGCTCAACGAGCCATAGGCATTAGAGTTTAGACCAGAATTCTACCTGTATGAAATTCAATTATGTCGTCATCGGTCCTTCTGCTGTATAACAAAATCTGATAACATACAAAGAAGATACAAAAAAATCAGTCATATCTGAAAATGCAACATAACACTCTTTCATAATGTCATAAAAGAAAGATGCCCTTAAAATGAAGTAATCCTTAGGCATACCCGCTGCATACCAAATGCATTTGTATTTTGGAAAGGGTATAAGCTGTAGTGGGGAGGATAGCCTCAACTTCTTTGTCACCTATTAGCACAGACACTCTAAATAGGGTAGCGTGTTCGTGTCCGACACGTGTCGATA